TATAGTACAGAATAGAATATATACATACATCGTCATTCTGTTATACCATATTCTTTTTCTCAGGCATATTGAATAATACTGTTCTCAATTTTATTTCCAATCAAATTACCGGTGAATTTATTCACCGGTGAAAATATTCACCGGTGAATAAATTCACCGATGCGAATTTTGACGGCTTCCCTTAGACTAATTTAGATGGAAAAAGGAAACTATATCTCGCCATTAAATTCGCCCGACATAGCGGAGCAGTCATCATAACCTTGACCGATAATAAACTGGGATCGAGATCTAATTCATTTAATTCTTCAAGGATTAATTTAGCTAAACCTTCGCCAGTTTGGACTTCAGTAGGACTAAATTCAATAAGTTTTTCATGTATTTTTTCTATCATGTACATATCGGACACAGAATGTGAATTATTCGATATTACTAACATCCGTTGTTTCACCTCCCATAATTGTAAAAAATTTAGCTTCTTTAATTTCGTTTACTCAGTACTCACGTATCAAATCACTATAACAATTTATCAATTCGTCCTGAGTCGTTTTTGAGATATAAGTAGCATTTTTTGGGGCATTAATTAAACGTTTGCATGACCAGCGGCGACACGAAACGAGGTAATGCTCGAAAATCACCTAAAACACAGGTTGCTTCTATTATTTAGGTAATTTTCGAGCTTTACTTCGTTTTCGTATCGCCGTTGGTGAAGCCATGTTAAAAGAACATCTAATTAATACTCCCAAAAATACTACTTATATCTCAAAAGCAACCGGGAATGAATAGATATATAGGAAAACTCTGTTTACAAACACTTTTGCAAAATTCTGTTCATCGCGATTAGTAGTAGATTCATATGCTAATCATGAACCCTGACAGGTTTTAAAATAGACAGAAAGATAGAACGTAGAAAGCGCTACATTTTGACGAAAATAAACGTTTTTTAATACAATCGAAGTTTTTAATACAATGAAACATGTTTTCAGTCTGGTTTTTGTACAAAACGTCCATCGAGATATTGAAAATTGTTTGGTTTATGACTCTGGAAGAGTTTATCGGCTAGAGTCGAACTTTTTCCCTGTTGAGAGTAATGTAGTAAAAACCAACTCTTCAGCTTGTCTTGTTACAGAAAAAACTAATTTTACATCAAAAATGTCCATCGACAATAAAGTGACTACACCGCTATCAAGACTTGATCAAATCCCAGTTTATTATATACCAGATGGTTTGTCTTTGGTAGAAGGATCGAACTACCAACTTGTTTTGTAAGAAGACAAATTAATTCAGGCCTAACGAATCTCAAAGGTCTCTAGATCCTTCATAAATCAAGTCCAAACATCTTTCTAAATTTTTATTATATAGAACTACTCAAAAAAATACGAAAGTTATCTCATTTGGTTCACCTTGTCAAGTTCTATCGATTGGTATGTAACGTGACATTTCTGTCCTTTCCAGAGTTCGTTTGGACCAATTAAACTTTAATCTAGGTTACTTATCCAAAACCTTCGTCGCTGAATTTTTTTTGTCAGCAACCAGAGGTGAGACCGGTTCAGTTTGAGTTTTTCGTAAATTGGTTCGGTTGTAGAAAAGCACGAACCGGTCCCATCCCTGCTGGTTATATGTTGTTCAAAATGAATATGTTTTTATTCTTTGATAGTGAAAAACGCTTCTTTCTGTCTATCTAGAAGGATGCGTCCAGACTTAAAGCCATATCTGTTATCGGCTCATTATGATGTTGTACCAGCAACTAATGGGTCTTGGAAACATGATCCGTTCAGTGCGGTCGTCGATGGTGGATATATTTATGCTCGAGGCACGCTCGATGATAAAACGACAGTATTTGCTGTGATGGAAGCCTTACAGGTACTGAAAGTTTTGAATAAACCTTAGCGTAACAACTCTTTCATAAAGTTGTTCAAAGATTATGGGAAATTTACACTCATTAGGATTACACTCATTTACACTTAGTAGGAAGAAGAAATCCAGAACTATACAGTATTCCTCATCAACCGCGAAAAGAAAGTGCTGTAACAACAAATCAAATATGTAAATTGTAGAGAATTAAATTTTGTATCGAATGAGCTTGTTTCAAAGTTTTTACACGATGTTGAATAACAAAACAAAACACTGTACAAAAGCAGGTCATTTAAACTGGCCCACTGTTGGATCTATATTTCTTGTGCAATATCATGAGAAAAAGAATATCTCATTTTATTTACAGTATCCTAATAAGAAGTTTGATGAGGATGACTAATCATTTTTTATGGAGTCCTTTGCAAGCTTTGAGGTTTATGATTTTCAGCCTTTGTGTAATAACGCTAGAAAAAATATTATTAATGCAAACAATCAAAACGGATAAGCAGACAGGGACTTTTATACATGAAGGAATTAAACTCGCAATAAGACCAAATTTTACGAAGGACTAGGACATTTTGTCTTCAAAAAAATATCCAGAAAAAGAAGCATAAATTTAAACAGATGTTGTATCGTAGTCTTACATATATTATACAACATAGTGTAGTGCGGGAGAGCGTTCGGCTCTCTACAATCCAGCTGCTTGTTCAGAAAGCACCCAAATGAGGCCGATCTTACTTCTATTCCGGGTACCTGGCAATGAAACACTAAGAGCATTCATGACGTCACTCAGGCTGTTCGTGTGCAAAAAAATCATTTTTTGCTAAAGCCGTCTTATTCGAAAGAATATTTAACGTTATCTACAAACCCAGAACTAAAGCGGTTTGTAGCACAAAACATTTCGCACAAAATCAACATAAAACGAGAGAAAGAAATTAGCATGTCATTCTCAAAAATCTCGTTGCAGTGTAAAACGGACGAAAAATCCGTCAATCGATGTTTGAGCGCCGACATCTGAGTGACCGACATTTGAGCGACCCGACATTACCGCGAACAGGACTCGACTCTTCCACGACTTTTTCGTAGTACACATTTGGGTATTTTTGGCAGTGTGCTGTGGGACGTCGGGGTGTGGGTAGTGTGAGAGTTCGAAAAGTAGTTCCACGCGAAACCTATTTTCATCATGCACAAGTGTACATGTGTAACTGAACTGTATAGTGACTATTCACCACATAACTTCTCTCGGATTTCATATCATTCTCGGAGATGTCGATCGCTCCAATGTCGGATCGCTCAAGTGTCAGCGCTCAAACGTCGGTCGCTCAAACGTCGGTCGCTCAAACGTCGGTTAATCGAAAAATCATCTTCGTCATTTAAGTATCTTGATCATTAATATAAAAACTTCATCAAACGAAAGACCTTTCCAACTGCTTTGAAGGAAAGAAGATAAATGTTTGTTTGAAACTGGGAGACTGGGAAATATCCCTTTTGGTAGCGGCAGGAAAGTATCTGATCCAGCAGTCTTCAATCGAATGCAAAACATGGTCAATAAGAAGGTTTTAGAGTGGAAGGTTGGATTTCGAGCAAATAGACATACTATGGAGCAAGTGTTTATATTGAAAACGATAGTGGGACTAGTAAGAGAATCCGATCAACCTCTACACATGTGTTGCATTGATCTGAAGCAAGCGTCCGACTTTGTTAATCGTTAGGTACTATCGCGAATTTGTCAAGCTTCTTTCAGCCAAAATAGTACCACTGATGAAAATCCGCTGTCAAACTACAATGGCGAAAATAAAAGTCAATGGTGCAACTTCGGAGGCTTTGATAAAGGACAAAGTGATTCTGTGATCACTGATATTATTCAATAATGACTTGGATTTTGTTATGCGAATAGTAATTGCAGAGGCTGGGGTTGCTGATGTAAAACCAACGGAAACTTCCGTAAATTTTTCGAGTGATAAATCGAAGGATACCAGAGCCCGAAACGAATTAGATAAACCTGATTCGATTCTATTCGACTTGAGACAAATATTTTAAATCCTAAATCGATTCGATTTGATACTTCTGAAATCAAATTGGGTTCGATTCGGGTTTTTGCCGAATTGAATGTCGAATTATTCGATTCGTTTCAGGCTCTGAAGGATACGAAGCTTCTTGATTTACTATGGATATTGTGGCGATATACTAGGATGCTAATGAATGGCTGATTGACCAATATGTCCTCATCACAATAACTCAAACGAGATTTTCATTCTCTGTAGTTTGAGCGTAGCATTGACTTTACTGGGAGTCCCAGGACTCGTATCTGCTCACCTTCCAAATCGGATTGACTCTGTGTCAGGAAGTTAGATTTTAGAATCATAAGCTTTTCTTAACAAGAATTTTGTTTTTTTTTTCAGGAATACATCGAAAAGAATGGACAGCCTCGAAGGTCATTCTATATTGCTATAACGCACGATGAAGAGGTAAAAGTAATGGTCTATTACAACAACCAAAAATAAGATCGTACTCGTTCTTTAGGTTTATATGGATGGATCCGTCGGTATTGCCAATTATTTGTCTAAAGTTAAATTTGGTAATGGTGATTTTGAGTATATACTAGATGAAGGATCTTCGATAGTTGAAGACAGTTTTCCTACCATTGAATATCCAGTAGCAATAGTTGCCATCGGCGAGAAAGGCTATTTAACCGTCGAATATCGTGTTGAAATCACGGGAGGCCATTCTTCAATGCCCTCAGCCCCAACAAGTATCGGAATCTTGTCAAATGCCATGGTAAAATTAGAAACAAACTTACATCCGTCACAATTTGGACGTGGTCCAGAATTAGATTTGTTACAGAGTATTGCTCCTTACACAGCATTTCCAGTTCGTTTAGTATTAAGTAATCTGTGGATATTCGGGAGTTTGATGAAAAAGATTTTGTCCATGAACCCGACGACAGACGCACTGCAGCGTTCAACGACTGCAATAACAATGATATCCGGTGGAGTGAAAGATAATGTTTTACCTCCTTCGGCTCAGTCTAGTGTCAATCATCGAATTCATCCGGGAGATACATGTGAAAAAATATTTGCCAAAAATAAACATATAATTCATGACGATCGAGTAAAAGGTAAGACCAAATGGTGCATTGAACCGAGTCCGATATCTCCATACGGTAATCATATCTGGCCGTACATGGTACTCAAACATACCATACGGCAAACGTTTAATGAAACAATCGCTGTAGTACCGGGACTCACTCTTGGTGGAACGGACAGTAAATCGTACACGAATTTGTCAAAATATCTCTACCGTTTCTCGCCTAATTATCTTAAGCTCTCAGATTTAAGTCGTTTGCATGGCATTAACGAAAGAATAACGATTAACGATGTCGAGAGATTCATGAACTTTTTCTATCATCTAATGGTAAATTCTAACCTAGATACATTGACACAAGGTATTGAAAAAAATGAACTGTAGTAGCTCAGATATTTGCTTTGTAGTGACATCGTTAAAAAAAAGATTTCTCAAAGCGATAGGAAATCCTAGTTGATACTAACGGAAAAAAGTCAATCGCGACTCACTGTAACAGAATTCTATCCTTTTCTGAATTTATTCGTAAATAGATCAAAGAACATGTGCTGTACAATATGTATATCGGCTTGCCCAGGCGTAACGCTGTTACGTTTTTGATATACTTTTTCTTAATTATCTCGAAAAGTTTGAAAGCTAGAAAGTTCGTTCAAAAGCCATTCGACGCCGCTCATCATACTCTGTGTATGCTACAAAAACCAAGTTTTTTGGTTGAAGTTTGAAGCTTCGAGAAAGGTTTTTTCATTGCGTAACACTGTTATATAAAAGGACCCTAAATTCGGAGTGCTCTTGCTAAAGTTCTAATTTCCTGCGAAAGTTGTTCGCCAAATGAAATGCTCCTAGAGCAAATTTATTTAGAGCATCGAACGAACTTTTCAGCGGTAAAAAGAATTTTCTGCTAACTAGTTTGACTCGCGTAAAAGAAGCAAAAAACAAACGTAACGTTGTTACACATTTTTTTGTCACACCATTTTAGGGCACTTAGCGTTCTTCAAACAACTTCATACTTATAGCTTGAGTACGTCTAGCCTTCCTGAAGATACTCCACTTGCAAACAAAGTTTCAAAAGGTGCCTCGGGAGGTAAGTCGGGGGTTCAAACTTGCAAGCAGCCCTTGTACCTCAATTGAGAAATATTTCTCAAAACAAAATGAGCGATTTTGTAGAGAACTGAATTCTCTATTCGATAGTATATTTTTAAAATTATTTTACGAAAATTTCTAGGTCAGAAAATTAAAATTAAAGTTTTCAAAAATTTTAAATTTAACTTTTTTTAATTGAAAATTCAGTTTCTTTGAAAATCTTGATCATCGAAGTGTCGGATTACGTGGACACGCCGATACACTGTGATGAAGAAAGGGAGAACGAATGACCGAATGAACAGTGAGAGAGAGAGATATTAAATATGTACAAAAAAGTGAATGAATATGCGTAATGAGAGAAAGATAGAATGTAACAGAATTGAGTGACGAGGAAGTCACCAATGAATGATGAATAGAAAGTGAATGACTCAAGGACAAATAGAGCTTGAATTAAAGATGGACACCAGGACCAAAAAATTTTCCGGTCCCGGTAACAGATTTGTGTGCCATTCCATTAACTTTAGTGATAAACTACTATTTGACCACGCATTTTGTACAGAAATGTTTGCTCTTTCAGTCTATATATTTTATAGTATGTCATAGACCTTCGTTATTAATTGATTTAGTAAATACAATGAGCGGATCCCGATTGGTCCCGGCGATGTGATCCTGGTCATTGTATTTGCTAAATTAATTGATAACGTGCAGAAAAGGGATGAAAAGGTTTTGAAACTAAAACACGGGGTTTATTTAGGATCTGAAGAAAAAACTTCAAAAATGCATAACTTTTTGAAGCAAGGGCATGGAATGCTGAGAGTATTCTCACTTTATAGCCCACACTTTCCTCTACAATAGACGATGCTCAGTTCGAAATCCGAAAATGTTTTCAAAAACGAGCGAGGGGTATCCTTAACAGCCAGAGAGAAATAAGACTTGTTAACACGGGTATTGCTAAAAGACGCGAACACCCATGAACAGCTACGAACAGCCACGAACACCCCCAAATTAAAATCTGAGTTAGCCAATCGATAGAGCTCGTCGAGCTGAGTATAGCAACGTCTAACGAACACCCAAAA